TATATACCTATATGAGGTAACTTCATAAAGATACTGAATTTATTTTCAACCGTAATACTAAGTATATATACTCAAGCTATTTTTTTGGCTCAAGGGCTGTGTTTTTACATAGCACATAAAAAAGGAAGCCTGATAATAATGTATTTTACTATAGTAAAAGTTATATTAAATATATATAATTACAAAATAAATGTGCATATCCTCCAACCACGCATATAATCTAAGTTCTTGAAAGCAAGAATGAGTATCATGCAATTTATACTCATACAAAACACAACCTATAACCATGTTGGTACTAATGCTCATAAAATGAACACCTAACATACACTTTAAGAAAATGTGAGTATTTGTATCTTTCTAGGTATGTGTAACAATAGACATAAAAGAAACAAAGTAAATACGGCAATACAATAACATATAGAGGATGAATACATTTTGTAAAACCCGGCTGTACTACAAGAGAGGATGTTTTCGTTCCTGGATCCAGCCAGCAGAAGACGAATCACGACGGGTTTTTATACAGTTGAAAGATGAAAGTAGCTTTCCCGAACAAACCCTAATCCCAAAACTAGTTACAGAAAAATAACAACTTTATGGCAAATTAAGGAAAAGTTATGAATATAAAGCATTTTATAACCATAAACAAACTTTGAGTCAAAGCAGGTTTCAGACGTTTTTAGTTAAACAACGTTTCCACCAACATAAGTAGACCTGACCTTTCCGAACAAATATAACGAACACATGAATGAGAAATATTATGAAACTGAGAATACAAGTAGGCCGAAAACTTTTGATGAACACAGCATTTGAAGCCGCAGGCAAAAAGTTAATTAATGAATATTACGGCAGAACATTATTCTTGACATGCAAACGAGATACTGTATACAAAGAGGATTTTAATTACCTTTGCTACTTAATGGGAAAGTATCCATTGGAGTCAAATTTGGTGCAATGGTATCAAGAGATTTTAAGGCTTTGTGTTTTAAATTAATTCAATATCCGCAACCCACGCCAATTTTACACTGCCTGTGGTGGATAACATATTATATTACGGTGCGTCAAAAAGCCTGATGACAAGTTTTACATGCGGATATATATTAAATATTGCCACTTTAAATGTCTAACGTTATTTTCAAAATACTCAACATTTTCCTGGAAAGTCCTAATTTGACGTTATACTTTTAGGAAAATCAATAATCAAGTAAAGTTGATGACATTTCACAAATCATAAGTGTAGATTTTTTCAAATTATATTTCAAATCCTAATTTAATTTAACTCATGTAGGTGTTTTCACATGTAGGTCAACAGATTGATAAAATGTTATTTGCTGAAAAGTATGCTTTAAGCAACTGATATGCCTAGGACGATAGTCTTAAATCATTAACACAACCAAAACAAATTTAAAATTAACATAAGAACACATTCAAAACTCTTTCATTGATCCAATACTTTTTTTATAAAATGTTGCAAAACGTGTGATTTCAGTAAACGATTTAATGATTATACTCAGCAAATATACGCAGTTTACATCTAAAAATACCCAAAAGTGTTAAGAGATTCTCAGATTACAGATGAAATACACGTGCCATCCACCAGTGTTCTGTTTCAAACATGAATCAAAGAGATAAATATAAAGTAACAAAGCGAATTGAATTCTTCTGATTTATTGGAAAATACTGTCTGGATCTTAAGACGGATACAAGTGGGCGAAAACTTATCGACAACGGTCTACGTCCCACCATCAAGTGGCGAGGAGTGGTTGTTCCTACGAGAAACAACTGCAATATACATAATTGACCTCTTTTCTCCAAGCGAGTGTCTTGATGTGAAACAAATATATTTTCGTTTCACTTTCCCCAAGAAAATTAATAACTCAGTATGCTAAACCTTTTGACTAGCTAGGAGGGGGGTATGAGGTATGGATTTGTTATACAAATAATGCAATATAATCATAAAACGTATCAAGCATATTTTTTATAAGATTTTACGCGATGATGCTATTCAACACTTTATATCTCCTCTTATAATAGTGGTACAAGCGAATCAGCCCATCTGTAGACTAAACTTGCCCATAACTGGAGTCTTAGATTGGGCCTGATGATGACTGGTCGAAATCTATTTCTTTTTACATCCGTTAGGTACATTGGCCCTGTAAATGTTCGTAAATGTAAATGAATAGAAAAAAAGTTAGATATCTTCTATTATATTCGTATACAACTTGTATACACAGGTATTCCAATTGGAGAAAGCATAATACAATAATTTTGAGAAATGTACCACAAAATGAATTTTCCTGGGCTCGTGTTCACATAAATGGGATGTCTAATTGCAGTATACAAAGTCGAAAGTCAATTGGATATTTACTTGCAGTAGTTATAATGGTTATTCATTTTGTAGTATATTGTGCTTAACGGTATTGATCCGATTGTTCTTTCCTTTCGTTCTGTATTTGAAATGTATGGGTTTTTAATAAACATATGTTAACTCTTTTGTTTACCTTTCTAGTTATCATGCAAAACGGTCATAGTGACCGGGATCGTTTTAATCATTCCCATAAGACCCAGGTTAAATATCAGTTTTAAGTTTAAATTCAAGTAGAGAAAAGCCCTGTAGTCCAATTTGTACCATTTCAGATTCATACATTCCCATAGTTGGTTACTACTACTGAGCTAAATTTCATGTCGATCGCTTCAGCCGTCCAGGAGAAGTATTTGGTTAACAGAAGCAGGAGAGGAGAGCTAAAGTCTCTACTCTTTAAGCTTTATGAGTCAGAGCTATAAGAGCTTCGCTCGCTAAGCTCAACAAAAGAAACTCATAAAGCTCCTTCCCTTACCATGTTTACCACTTGATTTACTTGTAACGTTACTTGAGAAACTATTCTCTCAGAATGAATTCCGTAACAGATTTGGAAATTTGGTGAAATTAAATGTATATTAACTTAATTACACAATTTGATATTTTCACTTTAGAAAAAAAAAACATGTGAGCGTATAAAACTTCATCATCATTTTTATACACAATTGTTGTCATTCAAATAAGTAAAAAAATGGAGAGATAAAATAAAAATACCTGTTTGATGGATTATTAAAAATTCCGAATTTAAATCTCCGAATTCGGATCCATTCTAAATCTTAAATAAGTTTAACAAATATTCCACTGATAAAAATACAAGGTCAATAATATTTGCAGCAAGTAACCATAATTGAAACACCATAAATAGTAAAGAAAACAAAATATTTCATATGAATATAAAGTTCTTGAAATATTTTGAAGTTTAGTACCTAAGTTATCTGTATGTAAACTGTTTGCTAGGAAGAAATATGTCATCGGACTCCCAAACACAGACCCCTCATCTCTTTAGTTTGCACTTTTGAACTTAAAGTTCATGATGAAGTGTGATATAATCTCCCAAAGGAGGGCTACATTTTACAGCGTAGCAGATATTTTATAATGCGGTATTATGGTTTTATTATAACCTACCAATTAACATAGAGAGGACGACAATCATCCGGATTTATGTCGTCTGTAAGACCTAGAGAAGCTGAAACAAGTGGGAGGGGAGTCAGAAATCCTTCAAGAGACAAATCCCCCGTCACTATTGCTGTAGAGGCTACTTTGTGCCCGAGATTCTGGCTCGTCTCTTATCTTCGAAATAATTAAGAGAAAATAACGATAACTACCCAGGAAATAAAAAATAAACATATATTTTCAGGTTATATACATTGCTATAGTAAAGAGGGTTCTTTTACTGTGACTAAAGTTACAAATGCACTATTTTCCTCGTTTTTTGTATCTATTTAGCAAACAATTTGAATTAACACCATTTACATAGGTAAAGGATCTTCTCGCATGACTATAAGTAGTCTAAAGAGATTGCGGCTGGTTGTTTGGACGTAAATAAGCATGCTTTTACGACGCTTTGTAAATTTATATTTCTTCAATAATATATAGTTTTCACTTCTGTCATATTGAATCAGATTGGTAAATAAGTATTAATAGGGTATCGATTCACAATGGTGACATATGTTGGATAGATCAAAATTGCACATGAATTTAAACCATATGGTACTCTATCATGGAGGTTACTAGTTATTCTTCGACTTGCATCGTATCATGTACAGTAAATGTATGATCAATTTATGATGGATGTATGGTTCACCTCTACATGGTAAATGGACTTCATAAACCAGATCAAACTTGCTAATGAGTAAGTATGGTGAGCTCTGGGGCATCGTTGTCGCTCAGTTAGTACATTGTGTATACGTGATACCTCCAAACATTCCCTATCATATACGATCTACATGTGTCCGTAGTATGTAAAAAGTATAATTCATTTTCTTCGTTTGTCCTAAGATCTTATTCCTTAGGTCCTCGACAGCTACCAGATTGTCTATCTGCAGAGAGTAGAGACTCATTCCTAGACGACATCGTATCTGCCTAATTTGGTAGTTGAGCTGAATGTGAGTTGTACGTGAGAAAAGCTCCCGTTGGTCAGCTTCCATACGATCAGATGCCAACTCACGTTTCTGACATGAATTGAATATGGTACAGCGGGACCCTGCTTAAACTAATTGAAGTTTAATACTGGAACTATAGGTATGTAATAATAATTTTTAAAATTCATGGATAATGCATTTGAAGAGGTTCTTTTGCTTACTGCTATAAGAAAACCAATTTCAAAAGAGAATTAGTGTTTACCTTGTATCGAATGTATTAAAGTTTCAACTTCGCTGAAGATATTTAACCTTGATCATGCAGCCAGAATACTCAGTTATCCCTTATTTTCAGCATGAAACCGAACTTCGTAGAGCCACAGACTGCCACTGATGGCAATGAAACAGAATCGGAAATGTACTAATAAAACCACCGATGTCATTTCATTGGGGATGAATGAACGCTATAACAATCGTCCATAAATGGAACATATGGTGGTAGAAAATCGATGTGACGATGGTGCGATGGCGCGGGGGCGGTGAGACGGTGGTGGCGGCGGGGGCGGCGGGGGCTGTTCAGTCTCCGATAGTCCGCGGTACCGTGCCAACCAACCCCCGTGCAGTCGTAAGTATAATTGTCTTATATATTGCACGGTGATCTCTCATTAAATAATCAGATTAGTAAGAGCACATTTATTTAAAAACTAACTAAAAGTATGTTGATCATTTACTTTTTCATTGTTATTTTGGAGTTTTAAAACGTGGAAAAGTGTGATCGATTTTAAAGCTCATAAATCAGTACAAGTAAAAACATTGTTTTACTAAAATGTTTAATAACTAGAGTTATTACATTTTTGGAAAAGGAAAATACACAATAATAAATTTCTTTAATAAACACGTTGACCTATAATCACAATTTAAATGGTTTGCAAACATATTAGTTTTGTTACCATACAACAAATTGTAGTTTAAAACATTTATCTATCAATATTTATGTAAAGCGGTTGTTAGTTTGAGTTTGAATGTAACATGCTTAGGCATGAAACTGTTTAAATTAATAATTTACAAAACAAATTGAAGTTTCAGAATATTTTCAGAATATTAAATTACAGTAACAAATATCGAATGCTAATGATTCAATATTTAACAAAAAGGTTGCTGAAAATATTTAAAATAAACCACTAATTCAGAATATGTGTTTAACATGCAGGTGTAAAAAGTGTTTATTAAATCATTAAATCTGAAAGGCAATAAATCATGTTTTAATAAATATCTACCCGTTTCATCTAACGGGTTTTCAATCAACGGCGTTTAACATTACAATTTATTAATAACACAAATTTGAACATGGATTACAAGAAAATCTCGGCTCATTAAACAATTAACTCCGAGAAGGATGTACAAGATAAATCTTAACTTTAACTGCATTTATTCAAAATAAACGTTTAGTCAAAATAGGTTGTGTAATTTAATTTTTTTAAGAGAAATATTTAAGCTGTTTGAAAGTCAGTACAATTATTAAAGCGCAAAGAAGCATATATATGTGATCATAAATAATAAAGTATAATTATTGTACAGTTATATGTTGGTTTTATTTTGGACATTTAAATTATTCAGATCCATGCAAAAAGCGATGTTGTAAAAAATTTACAATGTACAACATTGCTTAGTGTATAACATAAAACCCTGTCTAACAATAAATTTATCTCTGTACACGACCAAATTTACACGTAGGTAAGAAATATAACCGCTGTGTGTTATATTTCGTATCGGTCTATTCGGCCTAGTTAGATAATGAGCTGTCTGGTTACATGTTCTAATAAAACTTGGTGTCTAATATGTACTACAATCTACTATCTCAAAACTGTATTTGCTTGTCAGCCTAGATTTTCTCGACTTTGAAGCGTATATAAACTTTGCTCATCGATGCTTCATAAATATTTATCCACCCATCACTTAGGCAGGTCGTTTTTCATCCTCCGAAGAAAATGCACATGCGGTCACAAGCACTCTATTATGTCCCCAAAACATTAGTCAATATTAGTTTTACATGAAAAATTATACGTGACAAGTGATCAATGCTACAAATAGATAAAAAATTTACTTAAAAATAGTTTGGTGTTGGAAAATATACGTTGCAATTAGAAAAGGTAAATCTCCACGATGAGCTCGGCTAGAGGAACGAAATGTAGTAAAATACGGTTAGCAACTGCTTTAATCTTACACTTCACCGACCACATAAGCCGGTACAGCAAAAGGTTAGCCAGTTCTGGTTATAGTTAGTATTGTAAATTGAATTGAATGTGAAAATGTTTCTTTAGTTCAAAGTCCATCGCACTAAATACAGAACCATATAAGGTGGAAGTAAAAGGTGAATTTTTAGTTTGAGTTTATGTTTGAACGGTAAATAAGTTGCAGGCAACATACATTAGTAGTTGTTAATTATGATACATCATTCGAAATTATCTTCAAATATCTCGTTAGAAGTGTGATTTTTGAATAAAGAAACAATACGGTAACATCTTTATACCCTTGCATGCTGCCAACCTTGGGGCGTGGTTGATTACATTGAATTCAAATGTGCTCTGCAGTAGACTATTTAATGGCGGTATATAAAACATATGTAAAAAATGCTTAGAAAACCTTATGAGACTTTTTATCTAAATTTGTCAAAGATATTTGTCAAATAATATTATATTGGATTAAAGAAGGTTCGCATAAGATACAACAGGTACCCCAACCGTACTGCAATAGTCAACAATGATTGGATAGTGTATCTGAGTCTAGAGGGGTATAGTATCCTGAGTGCCTTGACTGTTCGATCTTAAAGGTGACATACGAGTTTGCACGGGGTTAATTGTTTGCACTTAATCCTACAAATGAAATAATTATTCCAAGTGCAAACAAAAGTGGACATTGTAAGTGTAATGTAACTTGTGTATACAAATGGTGCTTAGAGGATAAACTTACCAACACTTAATTACGATTAATGTGTTTACAAAGGGTCGGTTTGTGGGTTTAAACATTGTCGTCAGCACCAGTTGGTGGTCCATTTTCCCAACGTTGCGTTTTGCTTCTCTAAACATATGCCTACAATTCCTAAATCTGTAGTACATGTATCGTGATTGTTAGGGAAATTTACAACATGTATATAACATTGATTGATAATTCTACAGTGAAAAATAATCAGACCCAAGACACATTTAGTTCGTTAGTCCTTTGCACTTGAATTAGTAGTGCTAATCTACACCAAGTAACATAATCCTGTAGTTGACATCATGGACAGGTATATAAGTGTTCAATCCTTGTTGTACTCGACACTGGTCCATTAATAATATTTTATAGTAAAAACATATTAGATCAATAAATTCTTTAGACAAAAATTAAAATCCAATTTGGCTAACACATTAAATTTTACAAACTTAAAAACTCTTGGTACAATCAATGATAATGTTGTTGATGTGGCAATCGATTTATATACACACATATGAATTATATCGACTCAATTTTAAAACTAGAACATAACATCAGTGTATACTTAGAATTGCAAATGAATCTAACGTTTAAAAATCAACATATTTGCTTCGATTAATACGCTGTGTATGCGACATTGTGTCAATAGCATTAGTCAATAGTGACCACTGCAGTGTAACACACAGGGTAAACTGTATAAATTGTGTCTATGTTGGATATTTCGATATTCTTAAAACTCAGATAAATTAAGTACAAGTAATATGAAATGCTTTGTTACATAGGGAAGATGAAATAACAATTATAAACTAGCCATTTTTAAATAGTCTACTAAATACTATCTTTAAATATGGATGGAACTAGACACTCGATACATGTTAGAATTGTAGCTAGTTTTAGAATAGAAATAAGCATTGTCGAAATGCCTCACCTACAGAATGCGCAGGTGTAAAAAAATGATTTCTGACGATATCTGTTCAATCAAGCCAAACTTGAACAAATCTATTTATAGTAAATTTATGGTATCTTTATGCCACATCAACTAACTATCACAGTAACGGAAACTAAGGGAGGAAAATATTTAGACTGAAGCACTGCCTTGAGTTGACCCATTTAACTTTTTTGAATAAAAAGTTGGCTACAGCCAGTCTATATAAATGAAATATCTACTTCAGTATCCAAGCAATGGTAACACATAACCAAACCGTGCTTTAACTACTAAAACGTAAACGAGGACGTTTAAACGGGCTGTCACAACACAGGGTGTTCCTTAATTAATATCAGGTTATGCAACACATGATGACATTCACACTAAACAAACAGTTATATAAAATCAAAGAACATTTTATACAGGATTGTGTATACTGTACACCTACCAGTGTTCAATGTATTAACAATTTTTAGAAAGGCACATTAATAATATTTCTAGAATATCCTTTAAATCATGTTTTATCAATCACCTTAATCGTTAAGGACATAAAGGTAGAAATCACAATGGTATCAGATTTTGTGAACGTGAAGGCCATGCTAAACAGAACCAATCACCACACTATGGATGTTGTGGGGAGTGAAATTTAACCAATCACGTGCCTCGATAGTCGATATAACAGTGACGCTTAGCCAACAAACAAAACTGTATACGTTTCTTTTTGGCTTGATGCAATTATCTATAACTTTAATTTGAATGCAATAAATACAAATATTTGACCTCAACAATAATAAAAAAACCTCTACATTCGTTAAACTGTATTATTGAGATAACAAAACCAAATTTGAAAAAAAAACACCCTTATAGCCTGCAACTAAAACAGAATCATAAGCCCCATGGATTTCTGAAGGGGGAATTTTTTGTGGTATTTTTGCGTAAGCTTCTCAGTAAAGCAAAAAGAATACAAATTATAATTGAACGTGTTTGAAAACATGCATTAAGTATAAGCTTGGTGGAAAATGGTTTTACAGCAAAATTTATTGTGAATGAGGAAAGTAAAATAAAAATATACTGCTTGATTAGCTATCATGAAAAGGTTCCTGTCAATGTTGTTGATTTTCAGATAACAGTTTATCGCACATCATGTTATTGACGTAAAGTGGAAGGTGAAACTATCAACATATTTCCAATATATCTTTTTAATAATTGTTTAGAATTCATTATGTACTAGGAGTTTCACAAATGAGTGGATCGAGAGAAGCTCTTGTACTACACTCCTGCCTTTGTTTTCCACATACTCCTCCTGAACGGCTGAACCAATGCGCACGAAGTTTAGCACAGTCTATATCCAACCATTGGAAGGTAGAAATCTGGAATGGTACAAGTTGGACCATAGAGTTATTCCCAACGTAAATTTTAACTTTTATAAATTTAACATGGACCTTATAGGTTGATTGGCCACCATGGCAGTTTTTGCAAGAAAACAGTAAAAAGATGAACAAAAGACTCGCAATTGTTATGGCTTGTACATGTTTCTTGCAAGCAATTTGCCAAGCCATTTATACAAGCACATCACAAAATACAAATACAGAACAAAAGGAAATATTGATCGGATTATTACCGTTGAGTATAATGTACTACAAAATGAAAAGCCAATTAGAGCCTAAGGCACATTCGTATTTAGATACCGCAAATATATGACTCATTTGTAACATATCGAAAAAAAA